ACCGTAAGCAGCAGTTTTCCAGCCTACTGTGAGGAATGGTATTGGGTACTGTCTGCCCTAATCATAACTCACCAAGCCAAAGGCAGCTGCAGAACATAGCCTAAAGAGCTGGCCTTTGGTTCACAGACCACCAACAGCCTCTGAAACGTACTTTAAGGGATCCACATTCAAAACAATTGGAGAACACTCACCCAGTAAGGCAGCCACAAACCTAATCTGTATGAGACACTAATGCCATCCAAGTGAACACCCAGTCCTCATTACACAGTATCTGGAGGAAGCAGCTGCAGCAAGAGCTCTGCCTCCCTTCAGATGCTTTAGGAAGACAGGCAGGTTACTAACCATGCTTTACAATGGGTCATTTGAGGCCTTGTCTATATGGGGAAATTTTACCAGTTATACAGGTATGATCCCACTGTGTGAACACTTACTTCTCTGTAAGAATGGCTTTTCAGGGTTTCGTTTATGTGACTTGGAAAGTCCTGGGAACGCTTTTATTTCAGAATAAGGGCGTAGCACAAACATGCTGGACTGGTATAACTGTATCGGTTTAAATTCACACCTGAAAATGGCTTTCCAGGTAGAGGAGGTCAAAACTCAACCCAATCTTAGTGCCTGTTCATCAAGTCCTTTAACATCCTGCAAACTCTTTAAAGCATCTTTCCCCACGCACACTGCATTGTGCATCTTCGGAATGAAATGCTGAATGCCCTACATTAAAAAAAAAAGGAATTCCACCATGTCTAGAGTTAAAGGGGACAACTGTAAATCTAGATGACTAAAATACATTTATCATAGAGCTGGGAGACATTTTTCAAACGTTGACAAAATAGAAGAGTTTCAGCTAAGTGCCCGTGGTTCTTTGGCCAGCTCGAACTGGTCATACACCTGCATGGCTATTAGTTGTGATTTTACAAAAATACCCCAAAAGAATCTCGCTGCCCATTACTGTGTGAAATGCCCACATGAAACAAAGGAAACTGACCACACAAGAGAAACAGCAACAAGTATGAATCACTCTGTAACCAGAAGTGTGTGAGTAGACTTGGACCCCCACTGGCTCTGAATGGGCACAAGTGTCTGCCTTGGATGGAGCCAATCACTGGGGTCTGGGCTTCTGTCTGAACAGTACCCAGCACAATCCCGACCGGGGCCTCCGTGGGGCTCAGGGCTCAGACACGGGTGGTATGGGCCTAAATGCTGTAACAGCACCTCTCCAAACCCTCAGAAACTTGACCTGAGCGTAATCAAACCTGAGATGAGAGTGCAGAATGCCTGGAACAGGACCTCTGAGGGAGTGTGAACTGCCCCGTTCAGCTCAGAGAGGGGTTCTCTCAAACATCTGTGATGACAATTTAAATGTACGCATTGTTGCCTCATCCCTCAGGTTACAACGAAGGGTGGGGGGGGGGGCGGGAAGGGGGAGAGTCACAGATCTGCACAATTTACCACGAGTGATATCTCATTTGGTGCCACAAGTGGGTGGCGTTTGGGAAATCCCCCTATTTATTTCCCCCACTCCACCCCAATCAAGGATCCAACCCAAAGGAACCTAGCGGGACCCATGTGCATAATGAAGCCCCGCCGAGGGGAGACAAGTGGCACATGCCTACATATGGCACATGGGCACAATCTACTGTGAGCAGCATCTCACAGGGATGGAGTTTATTTGTCAATGTAGTCTGGGACCTTCCCCTACCCAAACTTTTGCAGCTGCTACTGTAATAAAAATAACTAGGTTACAACCACAAGGGGCTCTCGGATGTGCAAAAGAAACTTAAGAACGTAGTCATCCTGGCTAATCTTTCAAAACCAGCTGCATTTGCTATATTTTGCATCAACTGTAGGTGAAGATTCAAACAGAAGGGTGATTAAGTGGACAGGGTCCCTTTAACTTAGTCTGGGATCCTGCAAAACAAGCTGCAGATCATCTCTCCATTGCCAGTATGACACTCCAGCATGCAGGCTGCAGTCAATGTCACATCCATGCACAGAGACCTTTCCCATGGGAAAAGAGGCGAATTCTCTTCTCACACCTCCTAGTTTTTTAAAAAATAGTATTTATACCTCCAAGGAATTTAAATATATAAGTTTAACATGGAAGCAGGGCTGTAGGGATACGGTCTTGTTTCTCCTACCCACCTCTTACTGATTGTGTTGAGCCAATCGCTGGGGTCTGGGCTTCTGTCTGAACAGTACCCACCCAGCACAATCCCGACCTGGGCCCCCCAGGAGCTCAGACTCAGTAGATGCATAAGCCAATCGAGGCTCTACTCAGTCATCCAACAGGAGCTTGGGAATCAGAGGAGAGTCTGGACTTCACAGACGTCCAAAAGAAGAAGAAAAGAAAAAGTGTGAAATGTGCAGGAAAATGGCACCTTCTCCTGATTATTTGGGTTGCTTTTGTACATTTCTTCTACATTTCCATCTTGCCTCTGAGGTTAGAGTTCTTCGGGAGAGATTTGCTTTTAGAAGCCATACATAATATTTCAAGAAGCATGGAGCTCCCAGGATAATTAAAGGTAAACAGGATATCATTTCTCTAGGAGATGCAATGTCTGAGACAAGAAAGACACAATCAAAGCATGCTAGGAGTAGGCATCCTGTCCCATACCCATCTCTGCACTTACAGTGCGTGACACCTGGCTGGCGTCTGTTGCTGTCGGAGCTTGACTGACATTGGCACATATCTCAGTTAGGAATCCGGCAGCATGTCTGATGAAGACACGGAGGTCCCTGTCATCACTCCAGCAGCTGATTAGATGATGCAGCTGCTCAGGTGTGCTGTTCTCCAGCATTTTTCCTTCTCCTTCCTGCAGCTGTAGCATGAATTATTTAATACGGGTCATTTGTAATGCCAGACATGCCCTCCAGCTGTTCTATACTAAAATCTTGGAATCAGTAACAATCTTATCCCCACTCCCCCGCCAGCTGTTCTGACTTTGCACAGACACAATCCCCCTTTCATACCCAGCGTGATGGGGAAGGGGGAAAATAGACTTTCAGCCGGGGAAAACATGGCAGCATTTGAGTGGGCAGTGATCCTTAAAGCTAGCCTTGATCATTAAAACCTACACACCCACATCTCCCGTTGAATACAGTAAGCAGCAGGGACTCAGCAGCTCCCAGTGAGGCCTGTTGTTTTATTCTGGGGACTGCTCAGCGGCACCTCCTGGCCGTTCATCTGGGGAATTAGCTCAGCCACCTGGACGGATGCCCCTCCCTGTGGTTACGCAGTCCCTCAATCCCCTCACTCACTCCACAGCGCCACAGGCTCCCGGAGCCGTAGCACGTCCTCTTCACAGCTTAGCCCTCCAGCCAACTCACATTAACGTTCTCCCCCCTTCCTGGATACCGCAAGTCCTTGGCGGCAAACCCCATCCCAGGCCATCCGCTCCCCGCTACCTGGTGTGTCCCACTCCCGCAGTGGCTGGTTAGGGGAACCTGGGCCCACCCTCTGCAGCAGGTTCCAGGCCAGGGACCGTCAACCCAGCAGTTGTGGGCATTACTCTTCCAGCCCCGATTGTTCCTTCCCTGGATGGCTTCCTACTCTCCCCTGACAGCTTCCTGCTCTGCCCCCTTGCACCGGGGAATGCAACTGCAGGCCTCCTCTCCCAGCCTGCCAATTTCCGCTCTTTATAGATCTTGCCCCGCTCCTCCCCACAGCTGAACTTCATCTGCCAATAGGCCCTAGCACTCCCTAGGTTTCCCTCCAGGTGCAGCATAAGGTTAATTGGCCTAATTTACCCCTTCAGGCCTTGTTTGGCATGGACATCCCATCACAGGGACTATTAAAAAACAGCTTGTTTGGGAAACCCTTTGTGATGCTTCCCACGGTAATCCAGGGTTGTGAGGCACCTCGCTACCACCTGCCCTTAGGGTGAGGAAGCCCTGTCTGTGCCTGCCAGGGGTCTGCTCCTCCACACCACCAGCCTTTGGCGAAACAAGCTCTGCCTTCCAGGCCCCGCTGTCTCTGTACAGCTTAGCGATGGGCACACACCAACCACCCGAGTATCTCCCTGGAGTGCCCAGTCCCCAATCCACTGGACATGCACAGAACTACCCGATCCTCTGCTCCCTTACCAGTTAAGCATAGAACACAGCTCTGTGTAACACACAGTACTTAGGTTTGCTTACAGAGAAAGCAGCCACTAATTTACTGAACAAAGAACAGCAATCCAAAGGGTAGCCAGCAGAAATATTGGAAACAAAGGGTTATGTATGAAATAAAATCATAATACACATGCTAGAACCCAAGCTTAACTAAAAAGAAAAGGAGGACTTGTGGCACCTTAGAGACTAACCAATTTATTTGAGCATGAGCTTTCGTGAGCTACAGCTCACTTCATCAGATGCATACCGTGGAAACTGCAGCAGACTTTATATACACACAGAGAATATGAAACAATACCTCCTCCCACCCCACTGTCCTGCTGGTAATAGCTTATCTAAAGTGATCAACAGGTGGGCCATTTCCAGCACAAATCCAGGTTTTCTCACCCTCCACCCCCCCCCACAAATTCACTCTCCTGCTGGTGCTAGCCCATCCAAAGTGACAACTCTTTACATAATCAAGTCGGGCTATTTCCTGCACAGATCCAGGTTTTCTCACATCCCCCCCACCCCCATACACACACAAACTCACTATCCTGCTGGTAATAGCTCATCTAAACTGACCACTCTCCAAGTTTAAATCCAAGTTAAACCAGAACATCGGGGGGGGGGGGGGGTAGGAAAAAACAAGAGGAAACAGGCTACCTTGCATAATGACTTAGCCACTCCCAGTCTCTATTTAAGCCTAAATTAATAGTATCCAATTTGCAAATGAATTCCAATTCAGCAGTTTCTCGCTGGAGTCTGGATTTGAAGTTTTTTTGTTTTAAGATAGCGACCTTCATGTCTGTGATTGCGTGACCAGAGAGATTGAAGTGTTCTCCGACTGGTTTATGAATGTTATAATTCTTGACATCTGATTTGTGTCCATTTATTCTTTTACGTAGAGACTGTCCAGTTTGACCAATGAACATGGCGGAGGGGCATTGCTGGCACATGATGGCATATATCACATTGGTGGATGTGCAGGTGAACGAGCCTCTGATAGTGTGGCTGATGTTATTAGGCCCTGTGATGGTGTCCCCTGAATAGATATGTGGGCACAATTGGCAACGGGCTTTGTTGCAAGGATAAGTTCCTGGGTTAGTGGTTCTGTTGTGTGGTATGTGGTTGTTGGTGAGTATTTGCTTCAGGTTGCGGGGCTGTCTGTAGGCAAGGACTTGATTATGTAAAGAGATTATGTCTGTAGCCCGACTTGATTATGTAAAGAGTTGTCACTTTGGATGGGCTAGCACCAGCAGGAGAGTGAATTTGTGGGGGGGGGTGGAGGGTGAGAAAACCTGGATTTGTGCTGGAAATGGCCCACCTGTTGATCACTTTAGATAAGCTATTACCAGCAGGACAGTGGGGTGGAGGAGGTATTGTTTCATATTCTCTGTGTGTATATAAAGTCTGCTGCAGTTTCCACGGTATGCATCTGATGAAGTGAGCTGTAGCTCACGAAAGCTCATGCTCAAATAAATTGGTTAGTCTCTAAGGTGCCACAAGTACTCCTTTTCTTTTTGCTAAGCTTTAGTCATCCTACTGTCTGATGACTCCAGCTTTAATTCGGTTGCCTTTAGTAACTCAAGCATCAGTGGTGTCGGTTCACTCTGAAGACATCACAGTCCGAAGCAATCACAAAGTGTGGCCAGGTTTTTTCAGAAAGAACTTTAGCTTATAAAAGAAAAGAAAAAAAAAATCAAGGCAATGCTAAGGTTGCAGACTCCGGCCTGAATCTGCAATACAAGTGCTTAACTTATACTCATGAGTAGTCCCATTGAATTCAATAGGACAACTCATGCATCTAAGTGATTGCAGGATCCAGACCTCAGAGCCCAATCATGGTCCCACTGAACCGAATGGCAAAACCTCCCACTCACCTAAATAGGAACTGGGGAGCCCACTCGAGTATAAAAGGGCTGAGATTCTCTCTTGGTCACCTCTAAGCTTATGGGGTGAGAGTTACTGCTTGGCGTGGGTATGTTAAACAAAGAAGGGCCGTTATCTGAGCGACTAGTTTAATGCCCCAGCCCTTACCTTGCTCCCTGTGATGGGGCAGGTAACCCCCCACCAGTCAAGAAGGGGTTAAAAAACAATCAGCCCCGACCCGCTGCACCTGTGCAGCTTGTCAGGCCTGGGGGCAGATTCTTAAAAGGGAAGAGCCCAACCCAACTGGGGCAGCACCCAAACAAGCAGAGCTAGAGATGCCTGTCCAGGGCACTGGGCTGTGCACTGGAGAATGGCTTGAGAGTTCCCCCAGCCTGAGCCCGCTGAGAAAACACAATGGGTCAGTTGGTTTCTTTTGTTAAAACTCCCAGGATTAAGTCTTGGCAGGACAGTGGGAGCCAAGACTCTCTGCAGAGCCTGAAAAATGGCCTCCTCTCTGGTTTGTGCAAAGGAGGGGCCCAAGCCCCCTGTGGGCACCCGAACTTTTTACTTGGACCGTTTCCTACTCCCCATTGTAGGAGGAAATGGACTTGCTATGAGGCACAGCCTGAGCGCTACCCCCCAGGACTTGACCATAGGAGTGCCATCACCCAGGTAACGATGCACGAGGTAAGCAAGGAGCCTGCCTTCACCCCAAGGAGTGGCGGGGGGGGGAACCTTGAGACACAACCTTTGACACCCCCACTGTTAATTTCTCTCTCTGATTGTTTTTGAGACCTGGTTACCCAGGCATGTGTTAGCGAGACCTGACCGGGCACACAGCACTCCAACGGTGACAAAGATCCGGTGCAGAAAAACAACTAGCCAGAATATCTATCGACAGCTTGTATCCACAGCTGCCAAAGCGTCATGAACCGAGGTCCCTACATTTTCCTTCCTGCCCAGAAAAACAAATTCTGGTCATTTATTGATAAGTCAGGAGAGGTCCCTTCTAGCAAGTAAAGAAACCACCCTCTCATGTCGGTTTATCAATGCAAGTGAGTGGGTGCAAAAGCTTCCTGACAGGGCTTTATCCAACTTCACAAGGAGCTGTATTGGCCGCCCAGAGATATGGGAGGCTTTGGAAAGGCTGCAGCGGCAGAGTTGGGGGTGGGCGTGGGGATATGAAATAAAGAAAACAGCTGCAGTCCCACTTAAATCATCTGGTAAAGAGGAATGATGAAGATAGCTGGTTCCTTTGTCAAGCAGCCATTTGTGTTCCAGGTCAGGAGTAACAATGGGAACCCACGTATAGCCCTGCTCACAAGAGCCTGCTGGCCCCCAGTCTGTCAGCACATCGCCCAATGTTATTTCACATAAACCACATCTGCCGTCATAGTATCAGGCAGATCTGAGCCACCACACACTTCACTTAAGCTTTCAGTTAATGATGGTTATCGATGCCAGCTCTACTTCTCGCTTTTGCTCAGCAGCCGCTGGTAAATCAAGCGTTCTGAGGAGGACAAAGCCTGCCCCATTTGCATAATTGTTTCATTTGCTGCTTTCCTTTAATATATGCATGATCTCTTATTTTCATAAAGCGAGTTTAACAAATGCAACTGGGACCACAATAGTCATCTGAGAAGGTCAGAAGAAATTAGCGTCAAGGCTGGGTCTGCAAAGCATAATGCCAATCTAATGCTCACTGAGGCATGGAAACATGATCACGAATTCCTTTAGGGATTCTCTCACATGTCTAGATTTCCTAGATGTTTGTGCATTAGATGAATAATATTCTCTCACTTTGTACAGTCCCAGAGATAAAACACCCTGCTCACTGATTCTTCTATTCAGCATGAAGAGCAGGACAGGCCTGTTTCCCCCACATACACATAAAAGGACTTTGCCAACAACATGTCACTCATCTGAGAAGTCAGTATGTAAATCAGGAGCTGATCAAAGGCCTGGAATTTGGCTAGCTAGCCTCAATCCCAGCCTAACGCTTTGTCTAGCAAATGCCTAGAACACCATCATGCATAGGAAACAGGAGGAAGACTGAAGTAATACAGTGGGTCTCGCTATTTATGGTGTTTCAAAACAAAGTTAAAAGTTGCTAAGTGACAACAGTATATCCCCACATTATTTACAAAACCCAGACAGACACTTTGTCTAAAATCTGATCTATTTCTTTGAAGTGACATATTTTAGACAAAGGAAATACAGTAGGTGTAATCTACCTGGATTTCAGTAAGGCATTTGATCCAGTTCCACATGGGAAATTAGTTCAATTGGAGAAGATAGGGATTAATACAAGAATTGAACGGTAGATAAGGAACTGGTTAAAGGGGAAACTACAATGGTCATGCTGAAAAGTGAACTATCAGTCTGGAGGGAGGTTACTAGTGGAGTTTGTCAGGGATCGGTCTTGAGACCAATCTTATCTAACATTTTCATTCATGACCTTGGTACAAAAAGTGGGCATATGCTAATAAAAATTTGCGGATGACATGAAGTTGGGAGGTATTGCCAATACAGAGAGGAGGACCGGAATATCATACAAAAAGATTTGAATGACTTTGAAACTGGAGTAATAGAAATGGGATGAAATTTAACAGTGCAAAGTGCAACATCATGCATGTAGGGACTAACAACAAGAATTTTTGCTATAGGCTGGGAACATATTACTTGGAAGCAACAGAGGAAGAGAAAAACCTGGGAGTATTGGTTAATCTCAGGATCTCTATGAGCCACAAACGTGATGTGACTGTGAAAAAGGCTAATGCAATCCCTGGATGCATCGGGCGAGGTATTTCCAGCAGTATTTATTGCCATCATGGCAAGGTACTGGTGAGACCTCATTTAGAATACTGTGGGCAATTCTGGTCTCCCATGTTTAAGAAAGATGAATTCAAACTGGAATAGGTGTAGAGAAGAGCTACTAGGCTGATCCAAGGAATGGAAAACCTCCCTCCTGAGAAGAGACATAAAGCGCTTGGCTTGTTTAGATTAACCAGACCAAAGCTGATGGAAGATAGGATTACTCTCTACAGAGGGATAAACAGCAGGGAGGGAGGGGAGTTATTTAAATTAAGGGCCAATGTGGACACAAGAATAAATGGATATAAACTGGCCATCAACAAGTGTGGGTTTGAAATTAGATGAAAGGTTCTGACCATCAGAGGAGTGAAGTTCTGGAACAGCCTTGCAAGGGGAGCAGTGGGGCAAAAAACCACCTAACTGGCTTCAAGACTGAGCTTGATACGTTTATGGAGGGGAAGGGATGATGAGGCTGCCTACAACGGCATACGGCCCATCCATGCCTGCTATTAGGAAATCTCTCCAACAGCCAGAGATGGCACACTAGATGGGGAGGGCTCTGAGTTGCTACTGTGAATTCTTTCCCAGGTGTCTGGCTGATGAGTCTTGCTGACATGTCCTGAATCTACCTGATTGCCATATCTGGGGTTGGGAAGGAATTCTCCCCCAAGTCAGATTGGTAGGGAGTTGATGGCGGGGGCAGAGGGGTTCACCTTCCTCTGCAGCATGGGTCACTTGCAGGTTTAAACTAGTGTAAATGGTGGCTTCTCTGTAACTTGGAGTCTCTAACCCATAGTCTGAGGACTTCAGTTGCTCAGCCAGGGGTTATGGATCTATAAAAAGGAGGGGGCAGTTGAGGTTCTGTGGCCTGTGGTGTGCAGTAACTCAGGCTAGATGATCATGATGGTCCCTTGTGGCCCACAATCTGAATCAAAGATACCATAAATGTAACAATTCCTTCTTGAGAGACCAGCAGGAGGCGCCCCAGGGGTGAGTCCCGCCCCCGCTACAGGCAACATCAAACGATCTCAGACACCAAACCTTTCACAGTGCAGCTCTATTCAGCTTCTACATTCTATTTCCAGTTGTCTTAAGTACAGCATAACTTCTGATGACATACACACATGGCTACAAAGTGGTAGAAAATGAATGGCACCAACTGGGCTGGGAGAGAAGGAAATATATCACTCGTGGGAGCAGGGCTGCATTTTCCAATAACCCCACCATCTTTCACTATCCAGGTAGATTAAGTATACTCTTCAGACAAAGTAGGTATGGTCAGAGGATGCTGACCTCAGCCATGTATGAAAACAGTAACTGGAGGGGACCATCGTTTTTTGGTCAAATTTTTGGTGTGGCCAAAATATAGCTTTTCAACCAGAACAAAAATTCTGTCAGACATTTTCATTATGAACAAAAGTCTGATTTTTTCAACAAAAAATGATAAACTGCTGTTTGGTGTTTCCCTCCCTATCTTTCCAGTGAGAAGGAGGGGAACACTGAAAAAAGGGGTTTTTTAGCTAGAAAATGAGCGAATGTTTTCTATAAAATTATTGCTCTGTTCCCCCCCCCTTTTTCTTTCTTTTTTTTTTTTTTTCAGACAACACATAGCATTTGCCAACCAGCTTCAGTGTTACCCTTCTGCAGACATGTGAGTGAGACCAGGACAAAGATCAGCCTCTTAACAGCACTCTATTACTGTGGACATGAGCCCAGCCCAATCGAACTCTGCCAACTCGTTAGTGATTGCTCTAAGAATTCTTAAAACATCAGCTGTTCTAGAGTGGCTCGGGGGATCCTTCCTTAGCTCAACTGCTACAAGAGTTCATTCTGACTCCCAGCTGAGGAGGTAAAACAAAAGGTGCAAACTGCAAAGAGACAATTTCAAGTGAGATACAAACACAAAGGAGATCTATATCCGTTAATCACTGCGTATAAGCGACCCACACAGCTACTTTCAGCCAGTGCAGGTAATTTTTCATTGCCTTGGTCCTCAAGAGGTTAGAAACCTAGAGCACAATGTGAAGCGTGAGAGGGAAGAAGAGATAAGCAGATGGGAGAAGGGAAAGATCCAAGTCAAAGATTGCCTTGTCTACAGGAAAATGATTTGCCTGGTTTAGATCAGCAGTGGAAGAGACCACATGCATCACATGTCTGAATTTATTATTTTGTTGATGGGAAGGATAGCTCAGTGGTTTGAGCATTGGCCTGCTAAACCCAGGGTTGTGAGTTCAATCCTTGAGGGGACCATTTAGGGATCTGGGGCAAAAATTGGGGATTGGTCCTGCTTTGAGCAGGGGGTTGGACTAGATAATCTCCTGAGGTCCCTTCCAACCCTGATATTCTATGATGAATGAGTGTTTGAGAGACTGGCTTTGCGGCTAGGGATTATACTGGATTTCCCATCAACGTGTAAGGCATTTGACCTAGATAAGACCATGCCAGCTTCCTTAAAATAGTCTGGATTTTCAATATCTTTGAGGAGGAGAGGGAGTCACAGGCCAGCAGGTTATATGGTATAGCAAAGGCTGACTATTTTTTAAATTCAGTACAAAAATCAAAACCCAGCATAGAAAACTCAGGCTCTCAAGCACTCATTCATCAGCGAAATAAAAATAAATGTAGACGCCCAGTAACTGTCATCTGCTCCCTCACCTAAGCTAAAACCAGAGACACCTTACACACAAGCAATCTTAAGCGGGACCTATTGGAGTTGACACTTGGTAAGTCATACTTGATTGAACGGAGTTGTACGGCTCCAAAGCAGGCCTCTCGCACCTGATTTGTCTGGAATCCATGGAGGCTGCAAGGTGGAGCAAGTGAAATTCGTAACCCATAAGAATCCCAGATATGGCTGAGACACCCTGCTGTGTGTCAACAAGCCATCGGAGGACAGAGTGACATTTCATGATCTCAACTTAGGGAGATAAGTCACGACATCAGACAGGGCCACTCCAGCCTTCAGCCCTCTCTCCCTGTACCTGAAGGAGGCCCACTAGCAAGAAGTGCTGTGCCAGCAGATCACCATCGTCTGCCTCCTTGACTGCAGTCCCAGCTCCTACCCTACAAGAGTCCAAATGCCAAGAGCTGGAGTCCATGAAGCCCTCACCCCAAATGTGTCTTCTTATTCCTTTCTAGTTTTTGTTTTGTTTTTATTAACAGGGAGATGCTCCAGCCATTTTAGTCTCTAATTTTAGGGTGTGAAAGTGGGGCTGTGTGAGTCCTCAAAGCCCATGCAGGGAAGGTACTTGAAAGAGTAGTTCTCTGGGTTTAAACAAGCCTTAAACATAGCCTCATAAAGACACTAATTAAAGTCTTGAGACCTGAAATTATCATCTCCCATTTCCAAAAAGCAAGAGTTGTAAAACATCTGCTTACCAACAATGTTCTGTTAAAGTCTGTTATAAAGCTCTCTGCTAGGGGCAGAAAACCACATAAGAGAGGAAGCATTATAATTGGCTCAGAGGTTGTGGTTCAGACATGAAAATAATCATTTGGTTTCATTCTGAAGCTACTTAACCAAATTCAAATGATAGATCTGACGACGTTGGTAAAATGTATTAGTGGGGATTTATAACCGAACAGCCAGCCACTTTCTCAGAAAAAGGATTATGTTTGGTATTAATTTGATGACTCGACTCCAATTCAATATGGAGACTAGCTGGTTGATTTGATTTTGAGTCAACAGTGGTTAGTATTATGAGTTTAGTTCTAGCACCATGTGTTCTCGATTTCGTTTTAGTAGAGGAGGTTTAACATTTATCAAATACAAATTGACACAGCATCACAGGTCTTTCACTAAGAACCATGTGTCCAATCCAGAGTCTTTGATAGCCTGGGGTGGATACCAGTCAGTCAACGTTAATGCCTGATCAGCTACTCCTAATGAGTCTATGGTTCTCACATAATTGCCACCCAAAGAGCACCCCTGATGACATACACATCCTTGCTTTTGAAGGAGGAGTCAACTTATCAGTAAGCCTTGTTGGAGCCTTGTTTCTGAACAGTCCTTCATTTGGGCTCTGTTCTTTGAATCAGAAGACTGCTACAGCAAGCAGAGCTAAGACAAGAAGACCCTTCTGTGCTTTTCCTGCTGACAGTGGGTGAGAAATTGCTTTGGATTTTTTCTAAATTTCTTTATTCATTATCTACATTTTACTCACATATTAGAGCTGAAAGACAGGTCACCCAGTTTGACTGGCAGATTAACTGGGATTTAAATATTAGCAGCTTGCAGCTTTATTTGTGCAAGATGCTTCCTGAACTGAAATGGACAAGCATGTTCTGAATTTCCAAGGTGTTTCACGCTTTCCCTGGTTTCTGCCTTTGCCTGCAAGGACATTTCTAGCAGTTTTGGATTACAAAGAAAGCCACAAGTTCCTTCAAGAGAAAAGACAACTGCCTTAATCACTGACAAGAAGCCATCCCGCAGAGAGCCTGCTAGAGTCTATTCCAAGAAGTTCCCAGGTGACCTCTCCACATAGAGGTAACACAACATACAACACCACACAACAGATTAACAACTTGATTTTACACCAACTTTATTCTACTCGTGAGTCAGTTCAGTCTTTACCATCTGATCAGGAGGTTAGTTCCTTTATATGGGCAGCTAACTGAGGATGTAGAGGGGCACAAGGCAACAGAACTGGAGAGCTGGGACTGACAAGTTGCAGGAATCTCACATTCAGGATGTGAAGGAAAGGGGAACAAGGGCCCCAATGCAGACAGGAATAATGCCACATGGTACAGATCAGGCTCAGAAGCCACGATGCATCTCTGTGCTGGTACAGAGCAACAGGAAGCTGCTGGGGCCTCCAAGAACCAGTTCAATTTGTGCCCTAATTGCCATGGCCCCAAAGGGTGTAGAAGTAGCTGGGGCATAGAAATGCCCCACCAAAGCTATTTCCTGGCCCTGCCATGCCCATGCCATTCCCAGCATTCCGCAGTACAGGGAATTTGTAGCAGATCTCAGTGTAGTTCTTAGGGATCCATACCAAAAAACCCACTAAATGCCCCCAGCACATGTTGGAAGCAGAAAGGCCAAGAAGGGATGAGGCCAGTTGCAGGAAGGGCAGCTAAAGCCACCAGCTACTTTGTCAGTATGAGGGTCTTGCTCCTGAAGCATCATGTCATCCATAGCTGCTAAGCCACAGTTCCTGGCCCCTCACACTATGCCAGTTGGGTCAGCTAGAGACCGAAGAGCTGCTGTCTGAGATCAGAGAAGGACACGACTCTCCATGGATTCACTGGAACCAATCAGCTGGTCACGGTCTCCATTCTCAGCCCCTCACATGTTGGGAGTCCTAGTTCAGCAAGGCATTGTTGGTATTTCTGGTCATGGCGATTCAGACTTAACTCCTTCATGAATCAATAATACAAAATTCCCCCATCCATCACTTCACCACCACGTGTGAACGTTTTCCTTTACGAGCAAAATAGGAAAGACAAAGGCAAACTAACATTTTGCACAACATACGAATAAGCATCAGAAGCTTGGGATTCTCTAAGCTCAAGAAGGGTTTGTGATCAAGGCTTAAGTGAGAAGAGGGAGGAAAAATAAGAATAAGTTTAAGAGCAAATTTTGGAAGAATGCAGCAAATGATATTACAGTGGTGCTAGGAACCCCAAACAAAGAGTTAGGGCCCAAACCAATAAGATGAAATTCAATAGAGCAAGTGCCAAGTACTGTACCCGAGAAACAAAAATCGGTTGCACACATACAAAATGGGGAATAACTGTCTGGGCAGTAGTATTCCAGAAGAGGGATCTGGGGGTCATAGTGGATCACAAATTAAATATGAGTCAACAGTGTGATGTTGTGAAAGAGGCAAATGTCGTTCCGGGATTATTAACAGGAGAGTCGGATGGAAGACACAGGAGGTAATTATTCTGCTCTTCTCAGCACCGACAAGGCCTCAGCTGGAGTACTGGGCACCACATTTTAAGAAGAATGTGAACCAATTGGAGAGAGTCCAGAGGAGAGCAATAAAAATGCTAAAAAAAGAGATTTAGAAAGCCTGGCCTATGAGGGAAAGTTTAAAGAGTTTGACATGTCTAGTCTAGGGGAGAGAAAGTTAGGGGGGTTGGGGGAGGTCACAACATGACAAGTCTTCAAATATGTTAATGGTTGTTATAAGAAGAGGACAGTGATCGATGCTTCTCCATGTCCACTGTAGGTAGGACAAGTAGTAATCAGCTTAGTCTGGAATAAGGGAGATTTAGGTTATCTATTAGGAAAAGCATTTCCAACTATAAGGATAGTTAAGTACTGGAACAGGTTACCTAGGGAGGAATCCCTGTTACTGGAGGCTTTTAAGAACGGATTAGACAAGCACACTCCTTTCAGGGATAATCTAGGTATACTTAATTCTACATCAGTGCAATCGGGTAGACTATATGACCTCTAGAGGTCCCTTCCACACCTACAGATAAACACACAGGGAAATGACCCAAGTGAAGTAACAAAGCATTGTGAAGTAAGTTAGCATGACATTTAAGAGTTATGTATACTGTGTGCCAGTGAGTAGGACAAAGGCCACTGTGGAAAAACAAAGAATCGTTAGGCATATAAAGCAACACAAGAGGTGTAAAATTAGATACAGAAGAGGGACTGCAGTTAACTGAATGACGTCAAGACTGTACAGATCATAAAAGCTAATTGTAGAGGATAAAAGGAAGATTACATAAGACAAGTTAACTATAAAGAGGCTTCCAAAAGGAAGGTCAGAACAAGAGTATGGCATGGACTGTAGCCAGACTGAGGAAAGGCAAACCCTGAATAAAAGGCAAATGCTTCAGAAATAATAAGATCTTTGTCTCCACCTTCCTTTTAACAGGAAGCCTGACAAGATTTGGGGGCTGGAAGAAAGTTGACAGGACAGCTCTATGGACATAAATGTATCTTTAGAAATAGTTGGACTCTAGGCATACTGATTTCCAAGTCAGTAAATACAAGTTTGGGTTATTTTAGTGGATAAACCCAGGGCTCATAGGAGTTACAGCAACACAGACAATAATATAAATTATAATGGAATGAAGTCCTGATTTGGATATCAAAGACAAAATGCCGAGTTTGGGAGTGGAAGAGAACAGGAAGAGGCTACTGGGGTGCCACAAGCATACGTGTTAGGAAGACTTTTGTTCTAGGTACAGAAGGATTAAGCAAGCAATATGGTAATGAAGTTTGTCATCATGTGGAATAGCCTGGCCCGGAGGTCGTGACCACCCCTTCCCATGCACTCGCCAGCAAGGTCCCATTTTGCTGGCAGAAGGGAGTTAACCTGTGACGAACGGGGCCTGCTAAGAATGAAGTGATGAAGCACAGTGCTCTGCCACTCCCTCCTAACACATAGCAGCTCCTGTGCAAAACTACTGCGGGTTTTGGGGCATGGACCCCTGGAGCAACTGCTCTCTGGCGTGCTCCCATGGGATAGGGGCTGAAAACCCACAGCAAAGCGCCGAAGACATCAACACGGGTCAGGCCTGTATTACCATGAACCTTCCTCCCTACTTTCCCAGGGACCAGTCGACAGCTCGACGACTCTGGTTATGATTAGGCCCTGAGGAAAACCACGACGTCACAGACCGCACAATCAATACCACGATTTTTCCACCAGTGAGGGGGAGGGGCAAAAGCAGGCCTCTGCACACGTGGCGACCGTGCTCAGAGCACGCGTTCCAAGCGGCACTGGATGCCGCGCATTGCATAAAACCGGGCACCGCTTGGAACACGTGCAACGGGAGGCCCCACTCGGAATGCACTGCTGTCAGGCTGTCCCTTACTCCCCAGGGCTGGATGCCTCGCTCCCCCCCCCCGGGAGCCAGCCCAGGGACCCCGGCAGTGCACAGAGACCCTCCCCCCCCCGAAGGGCACAGCCCACCCCCCAGACCGAGGAGCAACACCCATACCCCCCTGGCTGCCCCATCACCCATCAGGAACTCTCTCCTCTGCTCCCCACCAGGAGGGTTCCCCAGCCCCCTGGACAGTGGTCAGACTCCCTACTTGTGTGGGTGCCTGTTCAGGGCCCTGGCTGCTGCAGCTGTTCCTGCTGCCCCTGGGTGTCAGAGCAGCAGGCAGAGGGGGGGCAGGTGGGTGCTGCTGGTTACTTTGCCCCCCCTGAAACAGCTGCAATTTTTCCAGCAGTAGGGAGGGGGCATCCACCGGGAACACACACTATGAGCTGCATGAGACCATCTCCTTTGCCGCTCCCCTCCCCCAAGCCAGCTGCACGTTATCACGTCACGCCAACGAACTCTACTCGGATATTTCCTCGCTAATACTTTTGCCTGCTAGATTCCTCGCCCAGGCCTGGTCAGGCCCAGGGCCCCTCACAGAAGAGCCTGTGCCCCGCTCACTCCAGCTGCAAGGATGTTTCTAAGATCCCAGTGGTTCCGATCCCAATTCGGTCTGCTCGTGAGTCACGCTGTGTGCTGGAACAGTGCCTTCTAGACAGAGATCTCACAGCCTCACCCTGACAGTTACCAAGTCCTAACTCCCTTATTCAAACAGAGCAGCGTCTGAGTCTGCAAAGAGTCCCATTGGGTCCAGTGGGGCTACTTAGGAAGTAAGGTACTACTCAACTTGAGTAAGGGTGGCAGAAACAAGTCCATGTTAAGGGGTCAAATGGGTCCTAGGAAGGTTCATAGATTCATAGATACTAAGGTCAGAAGGGACCATTATGATCATCTAGTCCGACCTCCTGCACAACGCAGGCCACAGAATCTCACCCTCCCACTCCTGCGAAAAACCTCTCACCTACGTCTGAGCTATTGAAGTCCTCAAATGGTGGTTTAAAGACTTCAAGGAGCAGAGAATCCTCCAGCAAGGTGGAGTTGGTTTGATCAAGGTCAGGATTAGTGACCAAGCTGGACTAGAACCCACTAAATCTCCTACACTAGCCAAAAGACAACATCAGTCCCCACCGTAAGGCAGTAACAACATTGGTAAGAGATGCCATTTCAAGCAACACCTTCCCCTGTGTGGCTGAGCTTCCAGGCTCTTTTCTATCACAGCCATTCAAAGTCTGCAAGTAACATTAGTACATGATCCTCGGGGCTGCACATGAATCCTGATCTGCAAGTGACAGCTCTGTTTCACAACAAGGGGAGAAAATAGGTCAGAGTCACTGCACTCTGCTGATCAAAGTCAGTGTTTATCTCCGAGGCTGGAAAGTGTCAAACCTGAGACAGGAAGACGGATCTAAAAACGATTAAGATCATACGATCTTATCACAGAAGCCGCCAGCACATGTGATGCACCTTATCATGACATAATCGACTCTTTCCCTGCTAGGGTAGTAACTCATGCATGTCACCTAACCACACTTTGCTCGGGTGACTCAGCACATCAAGCCGGGACTTTGGAAAAGCTGTTCCAACGTCTTGAAACAAATATGTTCACATGGAGATGAGCGTGTGGCATTGTGGTGGGGTGGGGGGGAACTGCACAGAGGAACCAGCCAGAGACTAGCCAGTCAGAGCAGCTGCAGAAGCAGCCAGAGCAGGGACCCTGGGACATTCAGAGACTCTCTCTGACTTGTGCTGATGGGCTGTTTGCACCAACCCTCTCCCTCCCTCACAGTCTTGATCTCAGTTTCACTCCACACCAGTCCCTTTTACCCTCTTCTCCTCTGCCTTGCCCCCACGCCCCCTTCCATTCAAGGTCCCCTCTCTCCTTTCCCTTCTTTTCAGTTAGCTGATCGTCTCCTCACGAAGCCTGCCTCACACCCACACTGCATCCTGGTCAGTGAGCTACACATCAGCTTTATACAAGACAATGAATTCGTCCCAATTAACTCTGGCTCTACCATATCTGGTATTTTACCATTCACATGTGGTCCACAGACTATGAGCTGGAGACCCCAATGTACTGCGGATCCCCTTGATATGGGTCCACAGCCACACTCCGCATGACCTGCAGAGATCCACTTTGACCCCATCTGTACGACACACTCTAGCATACCCCATCTATAGCCAAGAATTTTGTTTCTACCCCTATCCTACAGAGGACAAAGGAGCCAGCATGCATAAACCCCGGTTGATAGCATGTTACCACCAGCTTCTCTTTCCCTCTCTCCCCACATTCTGGCCCCCTGCCTTTCCCTTAGGGCACAGTATAAACTTTGTAGAGACACAAACTAAAATAATTCTTGTTCTTCTGCCTGCTCAGAGTCATTTGAGAACTTGGCAGAACATCTAACTAGCACCTTCTTGCAACTTCTCTTAAGTGCATAGTTTAACTCAGGCAGATAGTCTCAGTAACTTCAGCAGAATTATCTGTGCAACAAAAGCAGAAGCCTTAGACTTAATGGCTGAGATTTGCAAAGCCAAGTAGAGGATTTAGAAACAAATTCCCATTGAATTTAGACAGTTTCCATTGAAACTAATGGAAGTTGTGCACCTAAATCT